GGACTGCTATAACGGGAGCACGTTAAAGAGGCGGAAGCCAGTTGGAGTCAGCTCGGCTGAGAGTGTTAATGAGTCAGTTTTTGAGTGATTACAGTGTTTGCTATACTGGACATCCGCTTTGACCCCCTCCCCGTTCCCCCGGCCTATCCCTGGGGGTGGAATTAGCGTGTCGCCAGGGGTGTATGACGCGATGTTTGATCTTGTGCTTCGTCCCGGGGGAACTCAGTAACTCGAGGGGCAACGGTCCTTTAGGATGAAGAGGCTGCCTAGATGTTGTCAAATTGCTTTGAGGGAAAAACACCTATATTAATACCTCGCAGAGACATATTTTAATGGAGCTAGTGCAAACTTTTGCTAGAGCCCGGCTGAGAGTTTTTCATTGTGTTAACTTTCTCAGGAGCACGATAAGCGCGTTAACGATTTACGATATCCATTATCACTTCAGAGGTGTCAAGCGGTGATTGGACTATGTTGCATGAAGTCAGCGGAAAAATATGGGTCTGGCGCACAAATTCTCTGAGCGGTCCAAAATAATAAAGAGGCTTCAGGTCTAATTTTCGCAAACAGAATATCTATCGTAGGCAAACAGTCAAATCAGGCATTTTGTCAAATGTCTGGGCAAATAGTCAAATATTCTTACTTAGATGGAAATTTTGATTTTTTTACCCTAATTTTAGGCAGAATAATTTGTTGCTCCTGAAAGAGAGAATTCTCTGTAAGAATGTCCAACACACAATAGTATTATAAACGATATTAAGATCCTGAATGATCCATGAAATTTTCAGCATGTCATAAAACATAGAAGTTTTAAAATTTTGAAATTTAATTGTACTAAAGGCATGTAAAAAGGGAGGAGCAAAGAGAGTTCGCGGATTTGAAGAGTTAGTCTTCCCAAAATATTGAGAACCCGTGAGCTCCTCTCCATAAATTTACAGAATTCCGTAAACTGTCAAAATTTGACTACCGGCCTACGCATTTTATAAAATACCCGATTTGACTAATTGCCTTCGACACATCGATGGCTAAAAAGCGAAACCACGTATCTCAATTGCGGTGATGCAAAATGTCCGCTTCTAATTAATTTTTTCGAGGAGAAACGAGCTAACTTCATTGCTTGAAATGTTTACAGAATATGCTGCTAACGGTGAGGTAAAATCAAGGAAGTTTCCGAGAAATTACGTAGGTTAGTTCTTCAAGGAAGCAATAAAGTATGACAGAAAGCGTGTAACGTCGCAAACGAAGATACGTGGTTTTGCACCCTGGCCATAGATATACTTCTTGAACTCTCAAATTTTAGAGGGAGAAAATATGTGCTTTGCCAAAGGAGTTCTGGCAAGATAGCTATTAGTGGTGGTTGGATGTCGCAGAGCGCTTGGAAGCACTATAGGAGCGGCATGTTAATAATGTGCTTTAGGACGAGCTCAATACTATACTTAAGTCAATTTTTTTTTTTTTTTTTTTTTTTTTTTTTTTTTTTTTTTTTTTTTTTTTTTTTTTTTTTTTTTTTTTTTTTTTTTTT